TTGTTCATCCTCTATCGGTTTTGAAGCATTAAGTTATTTAATTTGTATTTAGAAACATTGTCAGATTTATCAATATCATATGATTTAAAAAACCTTGCCATTCCATGAAATTTGTAAGGTCAACCTACAGTTCTTTGCAAATTTTAGTACCCCAACTCTACATTGTGTTTTTATAAATTATTCCTTTGAAACTATATACCGTAAAGTATGTTAAGAACATTCCTCTTGATCAGCTTTATTTTCGGCTGCTTCATTCTTACAAAATAATGCACACATGTAACTGAAGTGAAAAATAAACTGGGAAACTATATAAGTACATGATGGCAAATTGATGTAACTGATAAGGTGCACAATATATAATTATGTATTTGCAAGATACTTATTATTCAGTTATATTTACAACTCACTTGTTTGATAAATTGGTCAGTTATATACACATTATCATATGAGTCCTTGGATAACCAACACTTTTTAAATACAACTGCTTGTATAACTAATATGAACATGGTGAAAAGTGTCCATGCTACTAAAATCCAAGATAAGATCAATTTCACAGCACTAATAGCTTGTACAAAATTATCCATTCTTTGTTGAAGTTTATTTGATATAGCATGATCATTATTGAAAACAACTTCTATTTTACTTAAATTTCCATAAAGTGTTAAATTTTTACTACCAATCAAATGGATTATTTCATTGAGCTGTTTGGTTAATTCTGTTTTTGTTGTAATATTAAGTGTATCTTCAAGTACTTCACCTTGTTTACGGCATAAATCTGTAAATTTTTCTGATGAAACACAAGTATCTTTAGCGAAAAATCTGACAAAACGACAAAGGCTACCTAAAATCCCAAAACTATCAACACAACTGAAGTAAATATTATTAAAAAAAGCTAAACATTGATTAATCAAAGCAACTTTATCCTCACATGCTATAATTAGTGAGTGTATCCAACTGGCTTGACTTTCCATTACATTAGTTAGTTGTATAATGGAAAAATTAATTTGAAATAATAAGTTTCTCAAAGTATTTAGAATAGTGTTAATGCCATCAATGATATTTTCTAATTGATCTTTCAGTACAGTAAATGGTTCTTGAGTTAACTTCTTTAATAACATCATATTTGTATTGACTTGTGCAATGATGCAAACAATCGAATTGCGAAAATTGCCTGAATTATGTAGAAAATTCAAACCAGGTCCACTGAATGACATACCAGTTGCATAGATTAAAATTGCCCAGCGTAGACGTGTAGCAATTATATATGGAAGTGTTAGTAGTGTGATACACTGAAAATCTCTGGAAAACGCCAAACCAAATACACTTACCAACATGATGTAAGCACTTAATAATATGGATAAATGTGGGTTTCCTGAAAATGTGATCATAAATAAGAAATATGTTATGAACCCTAGGCCTAACCCAAATATCAAACCCAAAGTACTTTTTAAATACATCCTTTCTATGTTCTGAAATGGTCTCCATTTCTGTCTGTGGCATAAAGTAATTCGAACACGATATCTACGACGAAAACTCCAACATAACTGACATAAATAATACAGCGGAATTAGTAGGCATGGTGGCCTTTGCAATTCATTTAAAGCTGCCTTTATTTGTTGTTCATCTAGTTTTATTGCCTCAGAATGTTTATTTTTGAGTGAATTATCTTGTTTTTCTTTTCCGCTCCCTTTATATCCCTTTTCATGAGTTAGATTTTCACAAGTATTTGATCGATTTTGAGATGCATAGTTCATTCGTCTTGATTCACACCAGGTTTTGTCTTCTGTAAGTTGTTCTCTTACCTCCTCATTGTTAATTATTTTAGAGCTTACTTCTTTTTGATTCACTGTAGTTAGTACTTTCAACTTTTCAGCATATTTTACCTCATCTTTAGAAGTAGATTGGCTGGCATTCTCATCTCTCTTTGTATTTGAAACTGAGTTATTCGAATTCCTATTCAGTAGTATAGACTGGCTAATTAAAGGATTTCTTGGTTTCTTTTGCCATTCACAATACCAAGTTGAATTAGTTACATTATGCTTGGGAGATGTCTTGCTATCCAACTTATTTTCAACTGATATAATGTCACAATCACTTGAATCTAATAGGTGTTCACAACATTTACCGTTGATTTTCTTCAATGAAAACATGTAAAGTTGGCGCGTCAAATTACTAAACAACTATGGATATGCATTAAAATATTTTATCTTAAATTTTTGCATAGCAGAACTATTTAAAATCCGAAAATCAATAACCAGATATTAATAGAATTTAATGAATCAGTTGATATAAACCATTTAACTGATGAGGAGAATTATAAGTCATATCAAAAAGTAATTCTAACAACCAAAAGAGAACAGACTTCTATGATATAATTTAGAATGGTATTATATATATATATATATATATATATATTGGACGAAACGTTTCCTAAACATAGTATGATGTGTGCTACTGATGTCGACAGATATAAATAGTATGTATCATCAATCGAAAGCGAAGTGTCTGACGGCAGAAGGTTAAGAAGATCAAAAAAAAGAAGGAGAACAAAGAACGATCGCTGTGGAAACGAACGAACAATGAAGTCTGAGATGACTGACTGATATCTGAACAATCAGATATGAGAGAGTTGATTGACATTTTGCAAATGAAGTATTTACTGTATGGTTCTCAGATTTTAATACGATGTTCTATAATTTTGTGTTCAAGTACATTCGGTTGTCTCTATTTGTGTTCTCTTCCACTACAATAGTAAATGTAGTGAAAGGAAATTACTTTCCGATTGTGTCAGTTTACGAAGTTACTTTAATTGTATAAGGGATAGAGTTTTGGCAGCAAAAATTCACAAATTCTTTACAGATTTTAAAATCAACTTTTACGTAAAACTGCAGCATACAAACTGTGAGAAAGCATCTTTATGAGGTTGCATACTTGACAGCTTGTTGTTCATTTAGCTACTCCAGCAGTTAGAGTTACTTCATCTGTTCTACAACTGACATTGTGATACGAGAAATACTGATATCTATCACGTCTAGATCCAGATGATATGTATAATGTAAAGAGAGGACATTATAAAAGATATCCTTGTTTTAAAATAATAAAACTTGTTATTCATCTATGCACAATGTGTCTACAATTTTAATCAACAAACAAATTCTGATTTTTTTAGTGAATGACTGTAATATCCTAGCGAAGACAAAAGTACGGGTAACTTCCGGGACCTATTAATGGACTATTATTTTATACATATTCTTATTGTATAAGTATTCAGTAATTATATTGTGTGTATCTATATTTATCCTATTATAAGCTTCATTTTGGCCTATGGATTTTTATTATACGAATTACTGTTCGTAAATTATACTCAATTTATTGATTTTTGTCTCCCACGTTCACAGCCACATTTGGCTTGATCATGTACAAATATTATTTTCTATTTTATGGTGTGATGCGGTTTATCTGTCTGGTATATAAACCGAGTATGTTTGAAATAAATGATTTGCATAGCGGAAGCTGTAATTGGTGTTCTGGACTCAATTGGAAGGGTTAGGCGGACAAGGGATCAATAAGGACACTATACTGCTCATACTGGTCGAACGTCATTGATTTGGCACTATGTTAAGATAAGAAAAGTCGTATTCATATTGGTGGATAAATCACGTGATAAAAAGCCGGGCATAAAATCACAACAAATCGGCGACGGCCTTATAAAATCATAACAGTAAATCTTCTAGAAATATTTATGAAAATAATGATGCACTATCTGTCAGCACATTTCCAAAATTCTTAACTGTATCATACGGCCTTTTATAACGTCACAACAATGATCCATTGTGTCTCTCCTCCAATATCCTTTCTCTTATCCACTTAATTATCATCTACTAGCAGTGTAGTCATTTGTATATTCCTTTTGTCTAAAGAAGTTACCATATTTAATCAAATTCTATGTATGTTTTATTTTGACATAATCGACACCGTATCACCTATGATAAATTTTAAGAAAGTGATTTAAACTACTTATATTTCTACCTAGTAACAAAATATGTATGTAGATAATTAAGTCGACTTTGTTAATGAGTGAATTTATTTCAAACTGATAATAATGAAAATAACGAATTAATAATAGTAATAATAATAATAATAATAATAATAAAATTCACTAGCCATTCTATTCTCTTTTTTTTCCAACTTTATCCATATTCATATTAATAATAGTAATAATAACAACTTTAATGGTTACTAATATTAATAATAAGTACCCTGTTCTCCGTTTAGAAGTAAAGTTAATGGTGACAGGAAAAAAAAGACAAACAATGAAAACAAATAGAGAGAGATAAAAACCAAAAACTTCCCTCAAACAAAAAAAATCCTTAAGCTAAACAAACAAATAATTATCATTCAGTTATAATCATTATAGTTTTATACACTATGTCACTAAATGATTCATTCCTCTCCATTACAAAGTTTCCCGTTTTATAGTATGTTGTCATCGAATATGTATAAATATGTGTAGAGACACTTTAGATAATAATGATATTATAGTAAAAAACAAAAATCTTACATAATTTCTGGCAGTTATCAAATCATTTCATTTTGTATTGTGCTCTACAATTTATGCTAATGACCGTACAAACTAACTAAACAAACATATTCTTCTATTAACAACCAAGTAGTGTTTAGACCTCTATTTACCGAAAGAAATTTTTGAATTGTTCATAAAATACAATGAAAAAATAATAATAATGAAAGAGACGATTTCATTTGAAAGAAAAGATCAGTAAGTAGTAGTCATAGTAGCTATTCAGTTAATCAGTCGATTATCATTTTTTAAAAAGAAAAGTTACATATTTGTTCATATATATGTATATATAATGATTTCTGCTTCATGAAATATCAAAGTTTTATTTATGTACAAACACAAGGAGAGCAGAACAGTAAAGAGAGTGAAAACAAAATGAAAACTCGAGGAGTAAAATGTGAAAAAAAACGATTCTGACCGTCTATGAATTGTGATATTGAAATGTAGAAGTAGATTTTGTCAGTAATCCTGTTGATGGTGATTTAAAAAATGATAAACTGATTTTGTTGTTGCCGTTACTATCATTATTATTATTATTATCACTACTGTTATCATCATTTTCTGTACACGTATCACCAATATTACCAGTTGGGATTGCAGTATCATATTGTGAATGGTGATGATGATGATGTTGATCGTACTGCACTGGATAAATTGATTTAGAATTCAATGACTCTTGTATCCCTAACTCTGTATGTGTATAATTCAAATTGTTCATATCACTGGGAAGATTATACATTAATTGGTGATTAGCACTATGTAAAACTGATGATTGATCAGTATTTGTTTCTTCATTACGATTTAATAGAGCAGAACCTCGTAAACAATGCATAAACTGTCCATTTTCTGATTTCAAATTGTGATGAGAATGTCGATGATGTTGAATATCTTCATCTGATGAACCAGACAAAGAATCAATATTTCCATTGTCTATTTGTAATGCAGAAGAATTAAAGCTTTTTAATTTATTTGTCCAACTTGAAGGAAATGTAGTATACTGATTGATAGTATTTAAACTATGTGTAAATTGATTAGTTGATATAGGAGTAATATTTGACCACTGATCAGTTAGGTAACATGGTAATTCTGTTTTCTGTTGCACAGATGGCGATAAACTATCATGTTGCTGTTGATGATGTAAGGGGATCGTCGAAAATGATGTGACAGTATTATCATTTAAATTTGATGTAGAAAAATTCAAGGAATGATTAAATCCGGAATCTGATCTTCCAATTGGATTAGTAATAGTATTAGAATACGAATGAGATGTATAATTTAATTGATTCAGACTATTATTATTACTATCATTATTGTTAGTTTTGTTAGTATGGCTGTATCTTAGGTTGTTCGGATGTGCATCAAATGACAATAAATTATTTGCAATGCTTATATTATTAGATAAATAATTCGAATAATTTTGTGCATGTGACAATAACATTGATGAATAATCCTGTGGATAGTTTGACGATGAATTCATCATCATCATAGGAACTGTTACATCATTTTCTGATTGTATTCCATAAGAATCATCATTATTCAAAGTATTTAAATGATCTCTTTCACTATCTACAGTATTGATAGTATTATCATTATTACTATTACTATTATTATCATTACTGTTGATTAAATCAGATTCTAATAATCTATTGGCTAATAAATTCATTTTACCATTATTGGGTTCCATCGGTAAATTCTGTAGAACAGGATTAAATTCTTGAAAATTACGCTCAGATTTTACACCAACTAAATTGTTACTATCATTATTTATTTCGCTTCTGAACAAATTATTGTCTACTGAGCTTTTAGTATTGACTGACTTATTGATAACATAGTTCTTATCTATTCTCCCATTCCTATTGTTATTTTGCTTTTGTTGAACACTATCTGTACACTGATCAATATCTTTCGAGGTAGAACATGATGATGATGACGATGATGATATTGATGACATTAATGATGGAGTCAAACGTTTAGTAATTGTCTCGTCAGATTGTTTTGTCGATAAATTTTCATGTATCGAATCATATTTTCCTGGTATCGTTTGTGTTAAATCTTAAATGAGGAAATAAAACAATCCAAAATAAAAATTTATTAAAAGAGATAGAACAAAAATGTCTATGGGAGAATATGTCTACATTGAAATGTATTAACATTTATGAAATAATGGGGTTTTGTAGCTTAAGTTGATGTCTTTGGGAGTGTTATTTTAACAACGTTATCCAGAATAAAAACAAAAACTTTGAATTTAAACCATCAACTATCTAATAAACATTTATGCGTATGAGCAGTGATGTTAAAAGCTCAACTAGTGGTCCCACATTTTATCAACTGATGAAAATGTATCACAACTAGAGCCAAAAAATAGACGACATTTAGGGAAGAAAACTTATGTTAAGCTGAACAAACAGATTTATGCAATAACTGTAAAGATACAGCACGACCTTCGGATATAAATAGTTTGATAATGGATAAAAATATAAATAATTCACGGCAAAGGAAGAAACGCGTGTTGTGGGTTTCCAATGCCAGCCATCGTCCATCTCTGCTTATAATACTTGTGGCCTAAGACAATCTCGAGGCAATCCGCACAGGATGCACATGTGCCATAGGAGACTGATTAATTACAGGTATGGTATATCCTCCTTTAATTTTCGACTGTTCAGTGTAATCTGCAGTGACATGAAGTGATAGAGATGTAAATTTATGTTTCATCTAAAACACTCCATTGTGTAATACATTTTTTCAGTTCCAATGTGCACATTTTTTACATTGATAATGGTGAGCCATCAACGGTTATTGTTTGTTATTCGTGATTACACAAACATGTATATTCTGCATATACTGACCAATTAACCGATTCACATTTTCTTCTGTTCTTTCCTCGTTTTCATACCCTTTTATGGTAGATAAGTGAGATTCTATGGCTTAGATTAACCATATTTTTATTCTCATCTCCTGGAAAACAGCTAAACATCTATATCAATAATGTACTAACAGTCGGGTATTTCAGCTTAATTGTTGGGGTTTTTCCCTTCAGTTGATCCTTTTTATTTGTTTTTAAGCAGAGATTTCATCATTTTCCTGTTGGTCCTTATGGAGGATATGAATCTACGAATGGTAATAGTTCTGTATTCCTTATCATGAACTAGCCATTGATACGGTTTATTTATATTACCTATTAGGGCAGAAAAGTTAGTCGCATTTCGAAAATAACGAAGTTTTCTGTTCATAAAGCAACTAGTTCGTTGTTGATGAAGCTTTTTCCCAAAAGACTGAAATGTATAGGCAGGTAAGATATCTTAATCAGCTAACCTGGTCAAAACATAAAGTCGTATGTGCACATTCCTTGTTTTCAGTTAATCAATATTAATATCTGTTGTTTGTGAACAGTTGAAAGGAATATATGAAATAAATGAATTCATCTCATTATACTATGATATTTGTTACAAATTCGTCTATAGATCAGAAGGGGTTTTGTGGAGAATTTGGAATTTTCATAGTTGAAATCATGAGTCAATTGAAGCTACACCACCATGGGAAACCTGGAAGCACTGGACAACCGTTTCGTCCTATTATGAGACTCCTCAGCAGTGCACATCCACAATCCCGCGGGTGATTGAGATTCGAATTCAGGACCTACCAGTCTCGCGCCAGAGCACTTAACCTCTAGACCACTTAACTGGTCGGCACTCAACGGTGTTAATGTCTAACTTCAACCAATCCACGATTCTGAGCAACCGTTCACCAATTGTCTTCAGTTAGTTGGTATCGCTACAACAGACTTGGTAGAACTCCACTGGTCACTGCTTCCCACTAGAACTCAAGGAAATATCTCTTGAAGTCAGTCACTAGCAAGCACATGATTATGGATCAGAAGGGGTTTTGTGGAGAATTTGGTATTTTCATAGTAGACTCTATTTAATAATGTATTTGGAGTGAAAATAGAATTTATGAAAAGTTGAATAAATAAAATTGTAATGACAATATTGACTTATTTTATGACGACTGATTGATTATTCAAGGAATATTATTAAATAACTAGTGATTTACCTGTGCTCATTGTAAGGGTGGAGCTGAATGGATTCAAACAATTACTTGAGTTTGATGAAAATGAAAGGTTTTGACTTGATAAACTTGAAGAATTAGTTCCGTTTTGAAAGACTTTATTGTTGCACAATTCTCTGGTATTGTCATTTATATTTGACTGAACTTTTGTCGAAGATACACCAGATTGAAGATTGAAATAAAATTTCTGTGAATTCAGTAAATCCATTCGCGTATCTAGATTCCATAAATCAGATGAAAGCTTGCAATCGAAACTTTGATTATGTCCAGGACTTTGAGGTAGTGCAATAGATGATGAGTCATATGTTTGGGGAGTGTATGTACATTCGGCTCGCTGTTTCGGTGTTGAGCCTATTGACGTTTCACTGATTACTTCATCTAAAGAATTAGATGTTCTTTCTGATATCCGGCAATCAGGTCGTACTGTATTTGGGTTTATATTGATGCTGTGGCTGCTATTGGTAATATTAATACCCGAATTGACTGCAACGGTAAAATTACTGCTACCAGAAGACACTAAACCTGCTGCTGCAGGATGTATGGCAGCTGCAGCGACCAAACTTGCTGGCCAAAATCGATTGTTTGAAGGTCTAAAACATTAAAACACAAAGAAAATATAACTATAATGAACTGCTTTTGAATTATAAACTGGTCTTCCCCTAAAACAGAGTATTTACTGAAATAACATCGACCTGATAAGTTTATTTATTTGGTGGTCGTAATAAAAACTAAAATAGACTACTGACTTTTTGTCTATAAATTAACTTCAGAATCACAAAACGTGAAATCAAGTGTAAAATTTTTGTTTCATAAACTTAAGTTTATACCTTCAATTGTCTATGATCATCATAAACCATTAATGTCTAGAGTTTTTTTTCGAATATTAACAAACTGCTAAATGTTACATCATTTCTGACTAGTGTAGAGTCAAATGTTTGTAAGTAAAAATTGGAATCTAAGAAAACAAAGTAAACGCCTAATAACATACAACAGGAGTTATATTGATGATGAATAAATCGTTCTGCACACTAACTACTAATAACCTTTAGCGAATGACACAAAGAGCCAGTTTGAACAAGAAATAGTTGTTTGTATACTTTAAAATCCCTCCTTACAACATACCATTCACATTTATTTATAAATCTTCACAAGATTCAACTAGGAGATGATGGATTCTGTTAGATTGGTTTTGGATCGATGGTCCAAGCTATTCAGTACTTGAGTCTTAGAAAAAACTAAGTGTGATGTTCAACAAACGGCATTGTAATTTATGTGAAGATCGATTAAGATGACATTATATCTGTCAAATGAACTACTCATTAGTAGTTTATATTTTATGAAAATTATTTACAAAGTCAACCAATCTTTCAGGTCATTAAGTTACTAGTTCCGCTACATTCCTGATATCCTTACTCAAAAACTATGGGTCAACGATTAAAAAAATGGCATGTACTAACATTAAAGTATGACTCATGTATGTTGTACTGTTCAATTCTTTTCCTAACGTTTTTTCTCAACTTTCCAACATCCTGAACAATAGATACTATGTCAATATTCTTAAACATATTTCATTCCCGGAAGTTAAAAATTCAGACAAATGATTTCTAGTTTTATTTAAAACTTGTTATGTATTTGTATGCACATAGGCAATCGATTATATATATATATATATATATATATATATATATATATATATATATATATATATATATATATATATATATATATATATATATATATATATATATATATATATACTTCACTTTCTGGTTTGGACTTTCAATGATTATATTCCATTCTCCTTTAGTTTTAATTGACTAACTAAGCTTAAATCAATAGGATTACAAGGTCATATGGAAGTAAACGTTGATTATTTATCTGTCCATTTTAGTTACTTAGCTATCTGATTTTATTGCTACTTTCATAATGTTCATATTAGTCATAACAATTTATGATTGTTATCGTTGTTATTATTATTATTATTATTATTATTATTATTATTATTATTATTGTCACATACATTATGTTGATGATGAATAATTATATGCCAAAGAGTAATGTACCATTATTCGTAAAATATTCATCAATTTGTACACCACTTTGTGATGAAATATGAATAATAGGTGGCATTTATTACATGGCTGTGTTTGTGTACTTTCCAGATTGATAGATGACAAAAAGACCACATCTTCATGAAGACTAATATTACTACATGAATTGTTTCTAACACTTTCATGCGAATATATAGATTTTCAAAGAGAGAACTATTAGATAAATTTGTCAAACTTTTTATAACTGATTAAGATGTTTGGTGAATAACGGTTCGGGCACATAACACTTAAATGCTTGTAGATCGTACCATATCAGGAAAAGTAATGCTTTATGCGTTAGTCAAGATTAATTGGGGCGACAAAGATAAGCTATTTCATTAGCGTTCTGGTAAGCAGGTGGTTTTAAAATATGGATTTTTGAACTCGAAATCAAATAAATATTTGGAACTTGACGTTAAAAGTTGTCTTGTGAAACACAGAACTCAATATTCAGAAGGTGTTTTCTTGAAAGTAAACGAAGAAAAAATCATGTAATGTTAACTGTGTGATTTTCAGACAAGCATATCATTGAGAGAAAGACAGATGATAACTTGGTTCACCAATGCAAAGACTATTTCAAAGATAATAGGCACGTAAGTGAAATGTTTGAAAATTTGTTCTCATGAAATAAGAAACACCCTACTCCTCATATTAAACAAACAAAAGAACGGGACAGCATATAAGAATGAACGGAGCGTTGTCTACAAAATGTAGTACACAAATTACAAGAAACACTGTGTTAGACATAGGGGATACTTGTCAAGCCTTCATCTCTGCTGATTTAGACACTCATGGTCAACGAGGTTACAGAAACTATGCAGATCAAACACAACAACAATACAGAAACAACCCTCTTGAATTACAAATTATTTTTCCCTGTCGAATTCGATGAAACTTTTATTTCAGATCCTAATTTATTGTGTTTAGTATTCTCTCTTGTTGGTGAACCTTGAAATTTCATATTTTGCTCAGAGAATGTTATCTCACCTTACCTACAAATTAATAAATCCATGAACCACTACTGTGATTGAGTACTCTGTTACTTCACAAATCAAAAGGACTAAAATAAAGAAAGCTGCCAAATATTTATCGATAACGTCAGTGAAAGATAATAATCAGCTTACCTGCTTGTTGCGGCCTTTTTCTTCTTGCTAATAACATGTGATTCATTGCAACCCATGGAATTGGACAGTCTATCTGATGATCCATCTACATTATTACAATTATTTCCATGTGGTACAAAATTCGAAGAATCCAGCATTGGTTGTAGAATACGTCGTCTTGCATTGATAAACCAATTATTTACTTGCAATAACGTTAAATTTGTTTGGCCTGCTATATGTCTTTTCTCATCTTCTGTTGGATACGGGTGCTGCAAATAAAGGGCAATACATTACAGTAGTAAATCTTAATAATAAACTCGGAATATTTTTACTCATATATATATATATATATATATATATATATATATATATATATTTAGGCACTTACTTACCTACTTACTTACGCCTGCTACTCCCAATGGAGCATAGCTGCCGACTAGCATTCTCAACCTACTCCGTCCTGGGCCTCCCTTTTCAGTCCTATCCATTTGTTCATTCTTCTGATATCTGTTTCCGTTTCTCGGCGTAATGTGTTCTTTGGTTCCTGGGGATTCCAAGTGAAGTCTTGTCTTGTGACGCAGTTGGGTGCTTTCCTCAGTGTGTATCCTATCCACTTCTAGTACTTCTTCCTGAATTCTTCCTCCGCTGGAATCTGGTTTGTTCCCTCCCACAGTAGGTTGTTGCTGGTAGTGTCTATCCAAAGGATCCGAAGTGTTTTGCGTAGACAGCTGTTAATGTTTTTCATAGTTCTTCAAGTTTCCACCCCGTATATATATAGTATAATTATTTTGTCTGAATATATTTTTCTTTGAATGGGAGTTATATTTGTTTATCAAAGCCATTACTGAGGTTATTTGAATTAGTTTCTTATATCTTTTAACTACCAACTAATGGACAGTAAACGGTTGAACAGCTTAATACCCAAAATTTGCACTACTAATACTCTAATAATCCACGATACAAAATTACAACAATCCTAGCATATATATATATATATATATATATATATATACAAATACGTACATGTAGAATGGCGTACACCTGTTGATTATCTCAGGCTTAACACTTAATTGTGGAACTGAGTATGGAAAAAAAGAATAATGGAAATTGTTTTCTAGAATCAGCAGGACAAACGTGGAAAAAATATTCCAGCTGTTCCCTTTTCTACTATTCATTTTCCAACAATAACCTTATTATGTGGATTATATATGGTGTCTTTTTGTATTCTACATCTTTTTTTTCATAAATTAGAACCAAAATGAAAAAGTGGTGGAATTTCTTTTAAAAAAATTATTGTCAACATTTTAATAACTAGACATAATTTTGACCAGAAGGAAAAAATATCAATGTAAAGTTATTGAGATTGTTAAGTTTGATTAAGATCATGGATCCAGTAGTTCCAAGTTTTCAATGATAGTCTAAGATTTATCGATTCATGATCTCAATCAGAAAAAAAATTGTTGGCAATCAACGAAAATCAATAATTACTAATCAGTTATCATAGTTTATTTATTTTTGTCTCAGTAGTGTTACATATCTATTATGAATTCTTAAGCTCAAATCAACCCTTTCAGATTGTATGATGACCATTACAAATAAGTGACAATATTAAAATAAATAAGATATTAGCAAATTTGAGTTAAAATTAGTTTTGTACAATCAAACATTTAATCTGTGGATTGGTTGATGTTAGACGTCAACATCTGTGGACGCCGGCCGGCTCAGTGGTCTAGTGGTTAATTGCTTTGACGCGAGACTAGTAGGTCCTGGGTTCAAATCTCGCGAGGCGGAATCGTGCATACTCACTGCTGAGGGGTCCCAAAATAGGATGAAACGGCTATCCAATGCTTCCAGGTTTTTGATGGTGGTCTAGCTTCAATTGACTCATGATTTCAACTATGTAATCTGTTTTTGATGAAGTTTTGTTCTTTGAGCTGAATGGCTTATTTGTGGAGCTCTAATCGTTCTTCTGAACGACATCATCAACAGAAACTTCAGAAGAATGATATAAACTTCATAACTAAACCATCTAGGTCAGAGAACAAAACTTCATCCAAATCATTCACTTGAGCTACAAATCTTCCTTACCATCTCATTTAACCTGTTGGATATTATTTCTTAAAATTATTAATCATAATTCAAATCATATTCATGAGTTTAGTCGATGATTTATTAGAGTAAATTCTCGTTTATTGTGACTTAATGACTTTTAATATATAAAATTAAATAAAACTTAATTACATTTAGGTTTAATTATTATTATAAAGTTGTTAACTTTGTTTTAATAAATTAAAAAAAAGGCTTATCATAAAAATGATATAAATTAAAATATTATCCAAGTATACCTTAACTAAATAATAATAGTAGTAATAGTAATAATAATAATAATCTTAAGTGGGATTATATAAGACAACATATATTTTAATATTCTTTATTAATGATACTTTCTTCTAATAGAAGTGTTTCAACATGTAATAACCTTTGAATATCATTATACATATTTATAAGTTATTACGAGTATATATGGGTATATAAAGGTGTGAAATTATCCGTCTTATTGTATAAATGAACTGTTAGATTCATTTTAAGAACAATGAATTTTTAAAAAAATAATTAAACCAGGGGGAATGATCGTTTTCAAGTGGACAAAAACGAAGAAAAAAAAGAATAATTGTGTGAATTATTTAAATGAAAAATGATTTTTTTAAAAATAATTTTCATGCCAAGATGTAAAATCACACCAATAAAGGGATATATATATATATCTTCTCTATGATGATACAAGTTAACATATCATCTAGAAAGTAATCAGAGTTGTAATAGTTACTTATTCTGACATAATGTATGGTTGAAATCTGTATTCATTAATTCTACTACTTATTCAATATCAAATAGTTCATTTTATGAGTTGATCTATTAATTGTGTTTTTTAGTGATAAAAATTACAAACTAAATGTTAATTTTAAAATCTATTTTTCTTAAATGGACAGCTATGATATATTTAAACATTTCTTTAAAGATTTTGCTTGAAAAGTCTTCTACTTAAACAGTATATCTTGGATAATGTAGATTACAAAAGTATTATATATGTTATGTAGTTTCCTGATGGTTGGATGCTTTAAACATAACTGAGTAAAATATTTAAAAAAAATTTAAACCTATATGACTTATCAGTTATTTGCAATCAGTGAATGTGACTGGCTCCATGTGGCAATTCCTGGAGGTCTAGTGAGAAGCAGTAACCATTGGAGTTCAACCAGGTCTGTTGGGAGATATCAACTTACTGAAGACATCGGTGAATGGTTGCTCAATTTCGTGGATTGGTTGAAGTTAGACATTAACACTGTTGGATGCTGACCAGCTCGGTGGTCTATCGGTTAAGTGCTCTGGCGCGAGACTGGTAGGTCCTGAATTCGAATCCCGCAGGGCGGAATCGTGGATGCGCACTGCTGAGGAGTCCCACAGTAGGAAGAAACGGCCGTCCCGTGCTTCCAGGTTTCCCATGGTGGTCTAGCTTCAATTGACTCATGATCTCAACTATATAAAATATTTATAATGAAAATTTCTCAAAAAGTTACAACCCTTTTTCATTAAGAGGTAAACGCCTAATGTACTCAATAGTAATTGCTTTCTATAGGCTATTCTCGGAGTTCAAGTGAGAAGCCACGACAGGTAAAATTCAGCCATTGTCGGGTGTCAAGCCATTACTTACTTATGACACTTAAAAGAAAGTTTTACTATAATAATAATAATAATTAATGGCTTTATTCAATATTATAATCTGGTACAATATAGAATTCTCAGCACGAGTTATTTCAACAAGTTTTTTTACCAAAAAAAAACCCAGTAGCTACTGCGCTACCACAGGTCTTTTTATTGTTTGATCGATCCTGACGATAGATATTAAGATCACGTAATGATACTAGGCAATCATCCTGTACGTCAGTCAACCAAGATTCTTGAATTGTGATGACATCACAATTACGATACATGTTTTGACTTAGCAGAAATTGGAGATAGTCCACCTTGTTAATTAGAGATCGACAGTTAGAGTTAAGCAGCTCGAGAATCGACATTTGATTAATGTTTATTCTCTCTAAAGCATATTTCCAAACACCACAATGTCTCTTATTGTACTTGTTTGTAATTTTTGCAGCGAAAGGACGTAAGCTTTTCATAAACGCGCCTGTATAGGTTATGCGATCAAGAGACATAATGATAGGTTAAAACCAATTTTAAAAAACCCAGATAACTTGTTGAAATATTTAGATGGCAGAAACAGGTAGCCCAGGGATTCAAGCAGGCCGCCCTACGTAAGTGCTTGATCGTGGTCGGTTATTCTATATCGCTGGCTCATTGAAGTTATATATATAAATTATTGGATGACGGATCAATGATCTCAAAGTTAGTCGCTATTGGTGAAACAATAGGATAGTACTTTTCAATTTTCATTTATCACTTAATATAGATCAGTCTGTGGTAATAACTATCCAAATAAAGTAAAATTTATAATCAATTAATTACGATGAAAAGATATTATTCAACAATTACTTTCATACGACATACCTAAAAATTAATTTTTAATTATGAATTGAGGATATATGATTTGTAGATTTTATTTAGTTTGACGAATTAGCTGACCAGTGAATGAATACACATATATATCCATTGATCATGTATAGTTTGAAAATTGTTAGAAATATTCAACAAATAAGGATGACGTCAAGGATAGATTTACTTTCAGCAATAAAGTAATCGCTTGTTATTTAGTCTAACATTGTAATAATTTATTGTATGTGAGTTGTTTAGCCTTAAAACTGTAGAGAAAAAGGAAATTGTCAACTTTTAGCTTGAATAAATAATTTTGGTGAGCTTACACACTACAAGGTAGACAGAAATTTAGATCAGATTTGAAAACATACATTTAGTGCTCGCCACGTTAAACAGGCTACCTAATCAGCGTATATAATAAATTACCTCCATTAACTACCAGTTCTTACTTACATTCCTCTGTGGAATTCATGTTAATTCACTTATTAACAAAAAGCACCTAGGACGTGAGATCGAACACACAACCATCAGGTCTCAAACAAATAAATCAGTAGTTAACAGTTTTATCTTAAGTTATTTTGTAAAAAAATAAATGGAATAATACTCATTTAATCAATCCTTCTAGTGGATATATTCAGTTTAACATTTAAGTCAGAAATTAATCCAAATAATAGGGTAAATTGTAATATGATAATCTTTTATAGAATGAACGACAAGC